TCATCGCCCTTTTGTGCCCGCCTCGATGCGTCGAGCTGTATTTCAAACTCTGCATGGACTCTCCCACCCTGGGATCCGAGCCTCTCAAAAGCTCCTCGCGGAAAGGTTTGTCTGGCCTGGCATGAACAAGGACGTCAAAGCTCGGACCCGGTCGTGTCTGAGCTGCCAGCGCAACAAGGTGCAGCGTCACAACAAGTCCCCACCAGGCACTTTCCCCAGTCCCGACGCACGGTTCAGCCATGTGCACCTGGATGTCGTAGGCCCCTTGCCTCCATCCAATGGTTTCACCTACCTCCTTACCTGTGTCGATCGATATACTCGCTGGGCTGAAGCTATTCCTTTGCCGAATTTTCAGGCTGAAACCATCGTGAAGGCCTTCGTCAGTCGTTGGGTAGCCATGTTCGGTGCCCCATCCACGGTTACGACTGCTCGTGGTGCCCAGTTTGAGTCGGCACTCTTCCAAACGCTACTCAATTTCCTTGGCTGCACACGCATTCGGACGACAGCCTACCACCCCGCTGCCAACGGTATGGTTGAACGTTTCCATCGCCAGCTAAAGACCGCCCTGCATGCCGTCGAAAACCCAGGAAACTGGTCGGACAACCTTCCTCTTGCACTCCTCGGCATCCGCGCAGCTCTGAAGTCGGATCTGGGCTGTAGCGCAGCTGAATTGGTTTTCGGCACTACCCTCCGACTGCCAGGCGAGATGATCACCCCGACCTCTCGTGGAGCCGACGAGACTCCTGACAATCTTGTGCACCGTTTGCGACAATTCATGCGCTCGCTTTCCCCGGTTCCACCTCGAACTCCTATGACTGAGTCTTATGTCGAAAAAGACTTGGACAACTGTACTCATGTGTTCGTCCGGTGTGACCGTGTGCGCCAGCCGCTGGAATCACCTTACGAAGGACCGTTCCGTGTGCTCGCGCGCAACGCCAAAACCTTCCGGATTCTTCGCAGTGACAAGGAAGACGTGGTCAGTGTCGATCGGGTCAAGGCTGCTGTTGCAGAGGAGCCGCCGGACCGGTCACAAGGACAAACATGTGCTGACCCCCTAACCCCTGTTCCTCCATCTTCCCTATCCCCTACTCGTTCACCCTGCCCACTGCCTTGCCCTTCCCCTCCCTTGTCCTCCACCCCTCCGTCCCGCATACTTCCTCTCCCTACATGTCAACGGCATCCAACTGCAACACCATCGTCCACCACAGCACGCAGTCAACCCTCTTCGACTGTACCTCCTGCATACATAACTCGCAGTGGCCGTCACGTTCATTTTCCCGATCGTTTAGTTACCCATTTTTTCTAGACTTGTGCATGTCCTCCGGCGCCGTATCCCGTCGCCCTCCGGTCTAGAAGGGGGGTACTGTGGTGAGGTACCTGACTAATTGACCTTTGACAACTTGGTCCCTTTTTCTTTGACCGCATTGCTTGTTTGAATGTGACGTAAAACGACACTCCTGCACAACCCGCCTTGCTAGCGTGCTCTGCTGTGGTATTCTGTTGTCAGTTTTCTTAACGTTCTAAAACCTCTATATTATTCCCTGCTCCGATTTACTTGCTGCATTTAAGGCTAGGGGCTCGTGAGATATAACTCGTTAGTTCGTGGGAACATTACAATTTACAACACGATCACGCCTGGCAGTTCTATTTAAATTTATTAGGCCCCGACCGGCCTCATGGCATGTCACCTTATGAAAACTTTTGATCCTACGATGTCCCCATCGACGAAATCAAGCAAAATCCACCTTCTCTTATTGAACCCCATCTGATTTAACCCCAAATCGTTAGTAAAATTATGAAACGCTGGAAAACTGTTTTGGAATCTACACCAAGAATGTAGGCACTTGACAAACCGTCAAATATGAAGTCGCACTACTTATCAAACGATATGTGGATGTAAACTTCACTGAAACGCTGTTATTAGACGTGATTTTATGTCTACTTTCATATTTACTACGCGGAGGCGAAAGTGATGGCCAAGTTTATCGGGGACTGTATTGAGAGAAATGAGTATCCAGACCATTATTGGAGAGCGCTGCGTCGTAGTCGTACAGTTATTACCACAGAAACCCTGAAAAGATATGCCGAGAATCAACTGGAGAGTACCCTCGTAAAATTAGAGGAACTTGAGCGTCATGCGTGTCAACGCACAGCCGTCCTAGATATCCTGGCAGATGAGGAAAGACAAGAATTCGACATGTACACTCAGTCCATTGAAAACAAACGTGGAGAGGCAAAACGCTCTGCGCTTCTTAGGAGTTTACATGAGATGAAAGCCCAGTCACGGTTTCCGAAAGACCCAGCTCGGTACGTACACAACTACTCTTATATGACCAGGAGGAAGACCAAAGCTATCAACCTGTTTATCGTCCCCGATACAGTACACCGACTTGTTTTGTTTCCAGTGTGGGCGACTATTTTGGTGGCTGTGAATGCAGATTAGACAGAAATCAATAGGAGGCCACAGAACGTTTTAGCTCTTTGAGAACATCGAGGATCGAACTGTGACTAAAAAATAAAGACGCCCCATGCTGCTCAAGAGGTTTAAGCATAGTCAGACAGGGACTTCCGTCAAATTGGATAAGGAAAAGGACAAGGATTACAGTAGGTGGGCTAATTCATGATATGTCAACCGAAATTCCGAGAGGCATTTTCATTTCGAAAAGTTTAATTAAGTATGGTTGTGAAACTAATCAGCCAGCAGGACAATTACATAATAATTCAGTTGCCTCAGGACGCGAGTTCCGAACGAACTTCTTTCTGACTGCAAGCAAAAACCACACTCTGTAAAAAATGACTACATACGTGGCATGACTTTTTCTCATTGATTTTCGATGCCTCATAAGGTCCAACATGCATAAAAATATTCATTCTGTTGCACGTTTGGTAAAAATGACGTCTTCTTTCAATTTTATGCTCAAAGGAAGGGCATAATTCGGTTTCTAAAAGTTCCTAATTGGACGATTTTTTAATACCGTGAAATTGCCGTTCGTAAAACGTCATGTCTCTGCATTTACCAATACGGCTTATAAAGTCGACAATATGGCTCACATACACTGCTAAAATGTATGAAATCCATATGTTCTCCCCCTAATACCAGCGATAAATATCTGGTTTTCCGTACGCGGTTAGCCTACTAAAACAATTTTAGGTAACATTACAGAGTTAGCCACTCGCTGGATGAGGAAGGGGAAGAGGGAGCAAGCAAAGCTCGAAACAGGCACGGGGAAGCGCGTGTGAAATTATACCTGATGTTACCGAGGTTGGCGTAGAAGCACTCCTCCACGGCTGTACCGGCTAAGCGGTGATAGTGTACGCTCAGTACGCCACAACTTCAGGCCACATCCCTAGTTGTTAGAAGCAGGACGCCATTTGGATAGGACACTTTATTCTGTACAAAATAGTGAAGGGGAAAGTTGGCAACCGGACGAGGGTGTGTCCGGCGCCGCGGAGGCGGCGTCCGCGAGAGCGACGAGCCCTGTGTCACCGAAGGTTGCCGCTAGAAAAGTGTCGCTGCAGATTGTTTACTCTATTGTTCTAGACTGTTCCCGCCTGTCTTACCAATCAGGGAGAGGAGGTGCGTTGAGTGGCTCCGAGTCCACGCGAGGGTAGTGACAAGCCTCGCATGGTGCAGTCAGAGTATCGAACGAATGCGTGGTGCAGACAGTGAATTGTTACGAGAAAAATCGAAGCCAGGCAGACGTGCGTGCCATAGCAGGCTGTCGCTAGGTGAGGGGCGCGACGTAGCCACTATGGCTGTCCACTACACCCCTCCCCCGAGTCATAGTTACTAGCTGGATTAAAATAGTAGGGTAGGCGCGAACACGTGATATATGTAAAGTCGACATAATGGCATTTACTGAAATTGTTTTGGTTAGCTAACCATATAGTATCATTCGAGTGGGGCTGCAGAATCAAACCTTTCCCTGCATTTTCCTTCGCCTTTACCTTGTGCAAACTCACTTCGGGGAAGCATTGCGTCAAATAGAATTGTACAATTTGCCAACATACCTGAGTGGGCAATTTACTTTTGAGAGATTAACGTTCATTAGTAGTGCGAACGTGATTGTGTCCACGGAGGGTTTAAATGGGGCAGGGGTGAGTTACAACGTGGTAAGAACGCAGATAACGATCAGTGGTTTGTAAGGGCATTGGGATTTAAGTGATGGCAAATTAGTGAAATTGATCATTTCTCAGCTATTGTTCCAAGAAACGTATGTAGGAACGTCTTCCGGTCCCGGAACACGAAGGTTGCCGTTAAATGTTAGCATTAAGAAGGCCAAAATATGAAAGATTCATGCAAAGTCTGCCGATTGCTAAATCTGTGTGTAGGCATTCACTTCATGAGTTTTGTTTTATCAACTTCCAGTGAGGGGGTTCCCAAAACAATGCAGTCTGTATGCCTTCCATTTCATGCTATCAGAACACTTTACTATATTTACTTCAGTACAGCGTTTGTGTAAGTATTTGTGAGCTACCCACCACTGCTTGGTCGTACCTTGCACCTAAAACAGCATAATTTTGCCGTAGCTTGATTCCCTGCACGAGGTTGGCCCACACATAAGACGGCTACTCTTCTGACTCATCCGCGAATTACTGTTCTTTGTTTATTCTTCAGAGTAGTCGAGAGATATAACGTCAGGCCAGAAGGACGGTTAAAGTAGTGATTAGGCCTTTTTATTCAGGTACAGATTCTCTCGCTCAGCGAGTTGGCGCCTCGAAATGAAGTTCAAATTCAATAATTAGCATATTTTAGCATTTTTAGTGGTCAACCGGTAATTCTGCATTTGCACTGCTTTATCTCTTACATCTTCACCAACTGGACGGTAAGTTGGCAACCGACCATATTGTCTATTTCGTCAAAATTTTCTCATATTGAACTGATCGATGCGTGGACTATAAAACCGTAATTTTCCACAGAGCTGAAGCTTTCGCCCGACATTGTTATGCTATTGCAAGCCATTCCCACAATTCAGAGGAAGCAGACCAATGTGGGTATGTTTGAAAAATTCGAATTTGCTTCCCACCTATGGTCCTGAATGGTATTTGCGGTGACCGAATCGCCAAAGATGTGATCGACAACGTTTTAATGACATACGGAAATACCACGAACACTTCCTTGTATACCTCGACACGGCCTCCAAGCATGGTTTCGATGACGACAGGTCAATGTTAAGGAAGACTCCCCATTGCTGACAGAAGCGAACAGGCCAATTCCAGGAAGCAGTTCCGAAGACGAAGATGCGATCAATGGAACGCTAAATTTATTGGTCCGACGTTTCGGATTCTCACCCGAACTCATCATCAGAGACAGTCGCGGATAAGGTAATGATGGCCCAAGGAGTGCAGTCTTCCAAATTCCCCTTGTTTATGGCCGAGTCATCACTCTAGATGATTTCCTCCCGTGGTTTTCAGTTTTCACCAGGTTACGGATAAAAGATTTGGACCTTTATTTATTTTCCGAGCGGCCTATTTGCGGAATTCGCACATTAGTTAGGGCCAGGCCTTACTCCCTAACCATCAGTAATGCTCAGGCAATTTCCGACTCACTCGTCGAAAGGACTGCATCGCTGGTCATGACTGATGAGTGCCAGTGCAGCGAAACGCAAATTGCAGGTCAGAATCCTTGCTCGACTACCAGCAAGTGGCACGCCATCAGGAGTTTTGGGTAACAATCGAGAGATGGCATCCAAAAAATCCGTTACCTAGAAAAAATACCTTTAACAGTGGACTCAAACGCCTTCTGGCAATATCAGCGGTTTCAGGCCTACTTTCACGCACTACTTGGACTTTCCCGACGGCCTAACATGCGCTGGCCGAACGCGCATCTCAGGAGGTTTCATGGACGATGGTCGCTGTTACCCAATCTTCCTCATCGTTACACACGTTCGCCTGAATATACGGCATACATTCGGACTATGGGAGTTTATTACAAAACAAAATCACTTTTAAATAGGATAAGTCTGCACAACAGGGGACAGGAACAGTTCCCAGGCATTTGTCAAAGACATGGCATTGAGGCCAAACCAAAGACGATACTGTACTTTGTCTATGTGAGCCCACACAGCTCGACCACATACAGGGCCTCTCTCGTGGCGTTTCCTTTTCAGTCTACTCCAGTATGCCTCAGTGTCATTGGTGTGCCGTCCGGTGGCAGCGTCCCTGAAGCTCTTTGAGTGGTTGACAGGGAAATGTAGATGACCTTCTGAGGGAAAACGATTATACGCCTTCCACATGTCCGTTACCAATATACTGCCTTTGGCGACCCATTTTGCAATGACGGAACGGAGAGTGGGCCAACTCCGA